ACTGGGCCTAGGACAGAGCCCTGTGGCACCCCACTGGTCACTTCTTTCAATTCCTTTGAGACAATGTGGGGCTGGAGAAGAGTGCTGAGGATCCCATGGGCAGCCAAAAGGACCAACAAATGGGTCCTAGAGCAGATCAAGCTGGAAACCACCCTGGAAGGAGCCAAGATGACCAAACTGAGGCTGTCATACTTCGGACACATCATGAGAAGGGAGGACTCTTTGGAAAAAGCAATAATGTTAGGAAAGATGGAGGGAAGTAGGAAGAGAGGAAGATGGAGGGAAGTAGGAAGAGAGGAAGACCACATGCCAGATGGATGGACTCTATTACAGGTATTAAGGGGTTACAGGAATTAAGCAGAGCAATGGAGGACAGAGGGTCTTGGATATGTCTCATCCTTAGGGTCACCATGAATCGAGATGGACCTGAGGGCAGTTAACAACAAAGAGGCTGAAAGAATGTGAATTGCCCAGGGTCACTCAGTGGGCTTTCATGGCCAAAGTCTCCCAGTGTCCTAGTCCAGTGCTCAAACCACTGTGCCATGCTGGCTCTCTCTTTCACTAGACTAAGTCACAAAGAAAACTTATCTGTTACCTTTGGAGAAAAAAAGGTGTGGTTAGTTCTTGACTTTCGTTTCTCCAAATGCTTTGGATTTCAGCTTCCAGAATCCTTGACAGTTGGCCATGCTCTCTGAGCCTCCTGGGAGTTGGAATCCAGAAATGTCATGACCAGAGATTGAGAATCGTTGGAATAGAGTGAAGGCAGTAAGCAACCATCCCCATACATTGAAAAGATGGGTTTAGTTTTCTTAACATGATTGCAGGATTATGGGAGTTGCAGTCCCCCTCAAAAATAAACCTTTACAGGCTATGGGAAAGATAGCATGGTGCCTAAATGTTGCATTGCAGATTTCCTATGTTTAATCTTCCCCTCTCCCATCCACTCGAAGCTAAGAGTACAAGTTGAGTCTCCCTTATTTGGAATTTGGAAATACTCCAAAATTGTGGCTGAGATAGTAACACTTTTGCTTTCTTATGGTTCAGTGTACACACACTTTATTCACACACAGCACTATAAAAATATAAATTTCATGTTTAGACTTGGGTCTCATCTCCAAGATATCTCTGTGTATATGCAAATATTCCAAAATCTGAAAAAAAAAATCCAAACTCCAAAACACTTCTGGTCCCAAGCATTTCAGATAATGGTGACTCAGCCTGTATTCATGTACATCCTGTAATGTGGAAGGAATAAATATATGTCTTAAATAGTTTATTCATCCTATAAAAGGAAATATCCATTCTGAAAAGGGAAATATCCCATAATCAATCAAATTTTTCCCAGATTTTCTGGGTGGGGGTGGGAGGGAAGCTTTGTAAAAAACAAGTTAAGTCTGCAATAGTCTGGGATATTAGTATGCAAAGGGATCTTGTAACACTTTTGAGAGGATCTTAGTGAAAGACGTTGGGTAACCTCTCGGAGACTTGAAATCTGAGGAAGTAGACCTAGTCTACGAAAGTTCATGCTGCAATGTCTTTCGCTGAGTTAGTTTCAAAGGTGTTACAAGATCCCTTTGCATACTGGAAAAAAATGTCTGTTTTTCCTAAAATTTCCCAGTGTTTTTCCAGGCCGTCACATCACATGTCCCTGTGATTGTGGGACAGAGAGAAGGTCCTCCTTGGAGAATTTGTGTGACCAGTGGGGGTGACCAAGATGATGAAAAATCTGGAAACCATGCCCTATGAGGAATGACTTGGGGAGCTGGGTATGTTTAAGCTGGGGAAAAGAAGGTTAAGAGGGGACATGATAGGCCTTTTTAAATATTAGAAAGGATGTCATATGGAAGAAAGAGCAAGTTTGTTTTCTGCTGATCCCAGCTACAGGGAAAGAGATTCCACCTAAATTTAGGAAGAGATTCCTGAGGGTCGGAAAAAACGCCCTATGAGAATGGGGCTCTTTGTCAGTGGAATATGTTGCTGCCTCGGCATGTGTTGGACTTCCCTTTGGAGGTCTTTAAACAGAGGCTGGATGGCCATCTGTCGGGAGTGCTTTGCTTGTGTATTCATGCATGGCAGAATGGGATTGGACTAGATATCCCTTAGGGTCTCTTCCAACTCTGTGATTCTGTGGTCCTTTTGGTAACTTAGACCCCAGCTTGCCCAGGGCTTTGCAATTCACAACTGGCACTTTTAACAGTGCCGGGAATAGCTAGTGGAGCTTTTGCAAGGAGGAAGTTGTGCATTCCCTGTATAGCCAGCTCCAGTTAACAATTTACTCTCAAAGCTTTATAAAACTGGTTTAAGGAGGGGGGGGGGAAAGCTGACACGGGGATGCTTTTACCACTTTTGGGCAGGAGAAACCGGTTGTTGCAATGCACTCCTTCAGAGTCCAGTATCTGTGAATGGAATCTGCAAATGATAGGCGAGCCCCATTCTTGCCTAGAGGCTGGAAATAGTGTGAGAGAAGTGTGTATGTATGTGTGTATTGAGAGGGGGGTCCTGAGCTATATTCTCTGCTTTGCACCATCAAAACAGTTGCAATTAGCCAAACTTTAGCTGGCAATAAAAACTGGCCGGGTGTTGCTTGGCTAGATGTCAAGGCTTGGATGTCCAGTCTTGAAAAATCCAAGCAGCTGTGTGCATGAAGGAGTGGTAAGCAATATTCAGGATTCAGAAAATTGGTGTTTCACAAAATAAAGGGAATCAATCATGTGCTTTTTGGGAGTTCCTTTCTCCTTCCTTTCATAATCTACTGTATGTCTGGAATGAACAGAGTTTGGAAGCCGTCATTCATAATTCATTCCTTTCTGTATCAACTAAGGCATAGTTAAGGATCCTTTCACACTATACAGTTACAGCATGTAGAAAGATCTTGTAGCATCTTTGAGACTAACGGAAAGAAAGAAGTTGGCAGCTTTGTTGCCAACTTTTCTTTCCGTTAGTCTCAAAGGTGCTACAAGATCTCACTACTTACTGATTCTGCAGACTAACATGGCTGTATCTTTGAATTCTACCTATACAGTTATAGGTATACCTCCATGCCCCTAAGGAAGTAGACCAAGTCTATGGCTGCATCCACACTGCAGAAGTAATCCGGTTTGACACCACTTTAACTGCCATGGCTCAGTGCTGTGGAATTTTGGGAATTGAAGATTGTGGTGGCTCCAGAGCGGAGCAGATGGCAAATCTGAAGATTTAATAAGATAGATCCATGGTGACATAAGTGGAATCACCATGCTCTAGCTGTGTTGTTTGAAATGGCCCTAAGCGGCATCATTATAGCAACACAGGATGGGAGCCAAATTTTGCCTCTTTGCCACCCTCCAGCAGCCTATACTGGTGCACCAAAAAAAAACCAAAAAAACAAATCAAAACCCAGACACCTTAAAATGTAAAAAATGTTTTTCTGCTTGATATTTTACCCCCCGAGTCTCCAAAATGGTTCAGAGGTAGATTGGCCTCCACCTGCGTCTGCCCATTCTGTGTACTTCCACGGTGTGCTTCACTCATCTGAAACACACTGCAGAAATAATCCAGTTTGAAGCTGCTTTAACTGCCTTGGCTCAATGCTAGGGAATTCTGGGAACTGTAGTTTTGTGAAACATTTAGCTTCTCTGTCAGAGAGCTCTGTGGCCACAACAAACTACAGTTCTCAGAATCCCCTAGCCAGGGCAGTTAAAGTGGTCTCAAACTAGATTATTTCTGCAGTGTGTTTTGGCTCTATGCCACTTTTGCACTTCAAGGGCAGCCTTGGCTATTGCATATAGGCTTAAATCCAGTGTAAGACCCATCTAGATTATGTCTATTCCCAAATGGTTTGTAAATCCCATTTATTTAAATGGGTCTACTGTAGTTGAGAAGAGAGCCAGTGTGGCATGGTGGTTTGAGTGTTGGACTACGGTGCTGGAGACCAGAGTTCGATTCCCAGCTCGGCCATGAAACCCACTGGGTGACCTTGGGTGAGTCGCATGCTCTCAGCCTCAAAGTAAGGCAATGGCAATCCTCCTCTGAACAGATCTTACCAAAGTTGGGAATCTCAGCACAGGAGTGGCTAAACAGAATTTGATCTCTGGTTGTTTAGGTTTTAAAAATAAGGCTTATTTACTGCAAACATTCAAGAAGTTTTCTTGAAGCCTTCTCCCTATACAACAGGTTCAAAGCTTATCTACTTGCCAAGTCCTGACTACAGTGTATGTGTGTTGTGTGCCTTCAAGTCATTTCCGACTTATGGCAACCCTAAGGCAAACTTATCACGGGGTTTGGCAAATAAACCTGGATTATTTCTGCAGCGTGGATGCAGCCATTGAGACAAAAACCCATAGCAGATGCTTCTCTCTACTGACTTCTCTCTACTGACCCGAGAGCCACCAGTCGCCATCATCTGACTTTATGGGACTAAGGGGGATGAAATAACACGGGGCTGGTGAATTCTCAGGCATGTAAGCTGAGCTTTAGGAGAAAGATCAGGTTGCTATTCCAACATGGATGAATTGTCTCTGCCTCCCTCTTTGGTGCTTTGTCCCATCCATCATCTGTACAAGTGAACAGCACTTGCCTCAAATGTTCTGCAGCTGGCAGAAGCTACTGCAGGGGTTTTTAATTTCCCCTCTCTCCTCTTAAAATTGTTTCCAAGGAAAAACCAAAGTTGGGTGTGTGTTTTGGAAAACAGCTTTTGACAGGGTGTAGATGTGATTTCCTT